AAAATCTGTGCAAGAACTCAGCTAACAGATGTTTCCGTATATCAAAGCTATCTTCAAATTAATACATTGTATAACATTTATTCATCCTGAAAATAATGCTTATTTAGATCTCTAAATAATATACAATAATTTTCATGTTTAACTTTATAAGTGGATTTGTTCCGGTAAGATTTGTTTTAAAGGATATATTTGAATAACTATGTTTATCCATTACTACTGTAGAAAATGATATTCTTACCTTTCTATAGATGTTTTCATTTTGAGTATTAAATTAACTAGTACATATAGGTGTTCGTTCTGCTTCTATCGGAGATCATTAGCATTGAATGCAAACGATAGAAAGGTCAACACATATAATCACCAAATGGTGTGGACACTTCAACCATATTGGATATTTAGTCTGAATCGTTACAGTTGACGGTAAGTCGACCTTTTACTAAGAGAAAGGGATGATAAAATTCAAAGTTCAATAATGCAGAAAAAGGTTTATGAAAAGTGATTATAGCACATTATATATGTCTCTCTTTATATAAATCTCATACATATATTTACATTAAACAGTATACTTAATATTGAAAATATACTGTTCAAACTCCAAAAACAGTATATTATAAATGTAACGTTCAACATACTTTTAACTTAACTAGTTAGTGATGGTCAGCTTTTGTATGTCACTGAATTTATTTTGACCTTCACATTACCCCTCCACTACAGCTTAAAACTGACGTATTTCACCATAGCCTAATATGCTATAATCAATGTATGTAAGTAGTTGTTTGTTTGTTATAGATTTCGCGCAAAGCTACACGAGGGCTATCTGCGCTAGCTGTCCCTAATTTAGCAGTGTAAGACTAGAGGGAAGGCAGCTAGTTATCACCACCCACCGCCAACTCTTGGGCTACTCTTTTACCAACGAATAGTGGGATTGACCGGCACATTATAACGCCCCCACTGCTGAAAGGGTGAGCATGTTTGGTGTGACGGGGATTCAAACCCGCGACCCACAAACTGCAAGTCGAGTGCCCTAGCCACCTGGCCATGCCGGCCGGGCCTTATGTAAGTAAAGACTTGTTAAGTATCACACACACACTGAAATATTTATTAACAAACTTCAAGTTAGAAAAAGACTACTTTATCTATGATTTATCACAAATAATGTGCATACATTCTGCTTGTCAAGCTTTTGAGAACAAAATATGTAAAAGTTCTTGACAAAATATTTCATTTTGTTGCTTCTTATGATAAAAGATTTGGCTTTCGAGAAAAAGTGATTCTTTCACATTTTTTAAATACCTCACGTTTAATGTTTATCATTACAGAATACACTTGTAACTTGTATGTTAATCTAACAACGAAGAATGGATTTTTATGTCACTGGACTTAACAGTCAGTAAAAAACGAATATTTCTACTCTATTACTTTACATGATAACGATACAGAAAGCTAAATGTACATTCACGATATTCTCAAGTTTTGGGGGTAAATTAGGAAGCTACTATTTTCTGTTTTCGAATTAGCACCCCCACAGAGGTGTCGGAACTAGCACTCCCACTTTTACATATTTGACTTATATAGCAACTGTAAAATCCCATTGTAAAATCTGCTTGACTAACCAAGCACCCCAATTTGTAACTTCTTCCTACGCCACTGTCACATATTTGTAGTTTAAAATTATTGTTGACAAATATAACTTACCCAGATCTATACATAATCTATCTTTTTCAAGGTGTAAATAATACAAAATCTAACCCACTTAAGGATAAGGAAAGTGATTTGTATCTTCAACTGTAACGTACCAAGACTACGTTCGTTGATAGGCCTAACTCACAAAATAAAAAATAACAATCACTTACTTTCCACTCGTATTTACGACACAACACAATGAGCTGACTAACAGTAGCAGGTTCACTAACTCACAAATCAACTCACTGACTAACTAGCACTGATGTTTTATACAGTATTTTTTCTCAAACTTTACTAAAACTCAAGACGTCAAGTCAAATCTAGACACACAGGAAATTTCTAGGTGCCAGGCGTCGTCACTAACATCATTACAAAACTCCCTCCAGTCAACAATATAAAACATCTAAATTAAAATAATAAGAACGTAACCTACAATAGTATTCTTCTTCCGTGGTAATTTAGACATTTGGTTTAAAAATTCGCATTTTCCTACTCATATTAAATAATAATCATGTTAAAATCAGCGAGCCGCGAAAAAAAAATCAGCAATCATGACGAATATCAGAACCAGAATTTTATGATTATAGTCAACCGTGTAAGCATCAAAAATCAAGAGAAGGCCATAAACTGAAAAATATGTAATAATATATCAACAAAGTAATCTTTATTATTGGAAAAACTCCGAAAGCATTTGAAATAAAATGTTGAAAATGTTACGCTATAAGCTTTGAATAAAAAGTTTGGATTTTTTTACGACACATGAATACCTACAAACACATGAATGTTTCCAGTTTGTAACGCAAAATAGGTTTCACCCTGAATACAATGAAACGCCTAAAAGAACGTACAGTAATGTTGTCTTAGTAAAAACAGTAATTCCTTTAACTTTTGGCATTTCCGTACAGATCCTGAGGCTATTTTCTCGACTGTATTTTCGTCCAACGCAGTGCAGCTTCTAAAGGAAACAGTACATTTACTAATCTTGCTTTAGACATTTGGCAAAGGTGACTGTTCCATTTCGCAATCACGTACAATACATCTTGTCTTTGTTTTATTTGACTTGTGTCTCGAAGAGTGAAGGTGCTTGATTAATTTTATCCAACTTGACTGGATAATAGAAAATTTAAAATCAACAAAACCAAGCATCAAATAAATAACATCAAGCATAAATTAAATAACAGTCAAGGAGGGAGGAAGAGGTCAACTTAAACCTAGCCTTCCCAGGTCTTCAAGACCTAAATTCCGATGAAGAAACGATGGATATGAAAATGTTTGTTCGTAGCATGTTTGCCACTATACGCAGTATTAAACTTTTATTCAAAGTATACTTTGTATACATATATGTGAAGGCATTTTTTGAGATTTCGTGATAACCATCTTGATCATTGATGACAACATATCTGAAACTCTCTAGCTCTAACCTTACCAGCCATTGTGGTTTGTTCAACACTTTTAAACCACAATTAACAAATTTAAACCACAAGATTGTTTATTTATAATTTATTATGGCTCTAACTTACCAGCCATTGAGGTTTGTTCAACACTTTTAAACCACAATTAACAAATTTAAACCACAAGATTGTTTATTTATAATGGCTCTAACTTACCAGCCATTGAGGTTTGTTCAACAATTTTAAACCACAATAGAAATATGTAAACCGTAAGCTTATTTATAATGGCTCTAACTTACCACCCAGTGTTTTTTTTCAACACTTTTAAACCACAACTAACAAATTTAAACCCCCGCTTGTTTATTTATAATTAGACTGGACAATGAAAACATTCTCTACTACTAGAAAAAATGCAACTGTTTCTAGGATATTTGACGATGCTGATTCTAAAAATCATGTTGAAAATTGCTGATCACCTCTAGTTTTCGAGTTATGAGAGATTTATTCAAAATATTTTTATATGTCGTGAAAATAACGTTTTCTTTAATAACTTTATTTATTCATTGAAAATTGCATTTAAGAATATGTAATCTGCATGCTTTGCTAAGTTTCTTTCATGTTCACAGCATGAGCAACATGAATCAATGGCTTAATGTTCCTATTGTGCAAAAGTACAGCTATCAGACTAGCTTTAGATGATTCGACAAATAGTCTCCATTATTGAGGATAATGTTCTGTACCTAATTATTCCATTAGTGCATCAACATTTGTACAGAAACACAAAGTATCTTGCATGCTGTAGTGAGAAGCAAGACTTTGATATCGACTTCAGCAAATTGAAACTCTTGTTCCTGTAGCTAATAAATTATATTGCTGTAAACAAGAGTCAAGAGGTTCCCCATGTTGCTTTGATAGAGACAAGTCACGAATCAGATCATTTAGGTCTTCTAGTGTGATCAGATGAAACAGTTCATGTAGTGGTGCCCTTGGAATAGAATTACAAGATGAAGAGGATGAAGATGAGTCATTGTCTTCTTCTCAGGATAACTCTTCTGTTTCCCAATTCGCTGGTAGATGTGGCACTGGAAGACCATCCCACGAGGTACTGATTTTATTGCAGATGTAATATCTGGATATTTGATGTATTGTTTAATTTTGCCTGAATATCTAGAAACATTAGTCATGCAAAAATAACAGTGAGTTAGACTATCTTTTGGCTCACGCCATATCATGGGAACTGAAAATGGCATACTACTTGCTCTCTTCTTATTCAGCCACTGTGTCAAGCCAGATGTGTAAACAGTACAATACACATATGGTGCCCAATGTTTTTCATGGTCAACAATTGTACGTAAGCTACCTTTACCTTGTGTGGGATGTTTTTTTTCCTTTCTGAAACTGTAATATATTTTCTACAAATGAGCAGAAATTGTCTGGGTGATTTTTGCAATTTCGGATTTTACTTGAACTGGAGGCAGCCAGCATTTCGAACGATTTTCTAAAAAAATACAAAAATTTATGTTTACAAAACTAGAGTTTAAAAGATTTTACAAAACTGAGTTTTGCAGAATTTGATTATACCGCGGGTGCGATGCGAGGAAGAAGATCGGACTATGTTTGGAGTGTGCGCAGAGCGAGGCGAAGTGACCAACTGAGTGAAAGAGAGGCGTCTGACTCCGCCCTTTTTTATGTTCAGTCGAGGGACTTCTCGAATGTTCTAGCAAACTGAGCACGTGGGGGTTTCGTGATTCCCGGCCGGAGCAGGTGAGCGTGAGAATGAAGCAAACGTGGTACAATTTGATACACTTATATCGAGAACAAATAACATATATGAATGATATATTTGGAATTTCACACTAATGAAATACAGTCAGTGTTTAAAGTTATCAAAAATATATGCAATTTACTTATTAAAATGTCCAAGTAAATTTAATTTTACAGCATAAATCTATCACACTGAGTTAATTAAGATGGCATTTCATATAGTGCTGATAGAATATTCAGATATTATAATAACTGAAAATCTAGAGGCGATGGACAAATTCTGACTACGTTTGTGAAATCAGCACCATCAAATTACCTCGAATCACATGAGTGAGTATTTTTTGTTGTTCATTGTCTTATACGTCATGGCAGTAGTCTTTGGTGAAACTCGGGTAGGTCTATATTTCATTATAATTCTGGACTATGGGGCGTTTGATGGGTTTCAATTAGTGAGAGATTAAACTTAATAAAATAATTGACATTATATGCGTAGGTCATCATTTTTCGGGTCACTTTTAAAGCTGGCATTTTCTATAGTGATTGTTCAATCTTTCTCAGAACTCTTTTGAAGCTGGTTTTCTCGATAGAAGTAGGTCAG